TCGTATTGCCTATGTTACCCATGCTGTTACCTTGATTCTGAACAACTGCGACTGCTCGTCATTCAGGTTTTGTCACGTAAAGTGCAAAGGTACGCCGTCTTTACGACGATAGCTGGGGATTCTGGGTAATGTAGTGTCTTTGGCCAAAACTCATAGAAAACTACTTGTTTCTCAGAATTGAAGGGGAGAAACACAAAAGCATAGTACACTATTTAAACCTATCAATGTAGTTTAATTAACAAGGATAATCTTGTGTTTTTGAGTTAATGAGTCATGCAGACATCACCGTAAAAGCAATAAACAATAAGGAGAATACTCACTTCCGGGTGTAACATTCTCCCTTATCCAATGGGAAGGGTCGCTCAGAACCTTACCTGCACTGGACAGCTGGAGCGCTCCCCCGAGCGTCAAATATCTCCGCCGATGGAAATACATTGCAATCAGTTGAAAGCTCTATGCGTCCGTTTATGAAACTGAAGGAGACTCGGTGAGTCACAACTGCACGCCAAAGGACCTGACCAACCGTCGCTCGGAGACTGTGTTGATATAAACATCTAAGTTTTTTGTGCCCCACCACTTTTGTACATAAAAACGCCACTGATTACAGACATCCCTGATTTTAATAGACTGAGAGTTGCTTTAACTTACTAAGAGACAAATTATCGCAACACTGAAGAAGCCTCTAGGATGAAAATAGGAAATCATTAAACCCAGCAGTGATTAGTGTGCGAAAAATAACTGTACTTATTTCGTATGTGTGGGGACAGGCTTTAACGTGACAGATATTGAGTTATAAATGGAGCGCTGCACACTTCTTCTGTTTCCCTCAGGGTGCAATCCCTGTGACAGCTCCTCCCCAGAGGGAACCGTCTGTGTGCTCGCTGTGAGAAAGTTATGGGACACAAAAAAAGAAAGAAAACTAGGTGTTCTGGGCTAAAAATATAAATATGATATGCACCAAGATAGTCTTCTTTGCTCTGAGGTCATGACCTTTGACATTTTATTAATGGATTGAATTAAAACTGGCATACATTTCCATTCAAGCTTTCCTTAGCCTCTCAAGATGAACATTTTTACAGCTTTTATTGCATGGGGGTTGTTTCATTGTCATTACATTACATTTCATTTAGCTGACGCTTTTATCCAAAGTGACTTAGAATAAGTGCATTTGACCAAGAAAATACAAACTTGAAGAAAACAGAATCATATTATAAGTACATCAGGTTTCATAGAGCCAAAACGTTTTAAGTGCTACTCAACTGGCTTTAGATAAGCAAGTCCTTTATTAGTATAAGTGCTTTGTTAGCTCCACAATTTACATTGTTGTCATATTTTCTTCTTCGTTTATAGACACTTTATTAAGTAAAGACATGTAGTTTGCTACTATTAGAAGACTACATGTAGAATTGTGACCAGACAATATGCTAAAGCACCACGCTGCATATCCAACGACAAATATGCATACATGAATCAGCCTCTTCTTCCCTTGCAGAGCTTCATTTTGATCAGTCCCTTGGATGGATGAAAGCCATGTCCCATCTGAGTGAGCATAATTAACACCCGGCGATAAAAACTGAGCCCCGGGGGAGCTGTCCACTCACAATATATTTAATTGAAGTAAATGATATAAAAGGATAAATTGCGATATTGAGCTGCCTTGACCAGAGGGTTCAGCTATAAAGTATTTTACAAGGCAGAGTCATTTTCTTTAGAGCATTTATTAAATAAAATGGTTCCAGTGGTGCTCACTCATCCCAACCTTCTCTGGCTTCTTTCCTAATAATACTGTTTGTAGAAAAATGTGTGGATGTGCATTTTGTGTGTCTGTGTGTAGTACTTCTTTATGCTAATAAGCCAATGGTTTTCACTCACCTTTTTGCCCTGGTCTGTTTAGCCCTCTGACAAAGAATCAGAGGTCAGGGCTTCTCCAGACAGGCTGCTGGGTTTCTGATCCACTGACTTCATCAGCATGCACACAGTACGCACACAAATGCATGCAAATTCAAGTGAACAATTTCCATACAAAAGAAAAGAACTGATGTTGATCGACGTACAAACCCACAATCACTAAACTATACAATGCATGCATACTCCCACACACGTACTTCATTCGAGTTGACAGCCCACTCAACACTTTGTATTTGAACCAAACAAATATTTCACAATTACATCTTTCTTTCTTTCCAGACAAACATTTTTCTTTCCAGGTAATTCAGACAGAGATTTTAATATCGGATGCATCTGTTTTTGTCAGCAATCACAGCTACAAAACAAAGTGATTTCAAGCAGTACAGTATTTGCTCTCCCTTTCTTTAGATCACTGACTGTTTTAAGTCCTCAATGCAAGCTGTTCAACATTGTTAAATCAGCAGAGAACAACTTAACCCTCCTATTGTCTTCGTTTCCCCCCCCCCCCTTACTTTGGTGTTCGTGGTCAAATTTGACCGGTCCTGTTTTAACTGCTATTACATTAACACAAAAAACATTATTCATCAACAAATTTCATTTAACACCCTTTCAAACTGTAAATATTGTATCAGACTACTGGTATACATGAAAAACTGCAGTAAATATACAAAGAATAGACACTGAACATGTATTGCGTTTGCCAGGTGTGATCCATGTGGGGGGATGGGCACATAAGAGCGGGAAATGTGTCAAATTTGTCTGTGTGTGTGTGTGTTTGTGTGTGTGATTCACATGGGGGGATTGGGCACATAAGGGGGGGAACACATATATGTGTGTGTGTGTGTGTGTGTGTGTGTGTGCGCGCGTGTGTGCGTGCGTGTGTGCGTGCGTGTGTGTGTGCGTGTGTGTGTGCCAGGTGTGATTCACATGGGGGGTTGGGCACATAAGGGGGGAACACATATATAGTGTGTGTGTGTGTGTGTGTGTGTGTGTGTGTGTGTGTGTGTGTGTGTGTGTGTGTGTGTGTGTGTGTGTGTGTGTGTGTGTGTGTGTGTGTGTGTGTGTGTGTGTGTGTGTGTGTGTGTGTGTGTCTGTAGTTTGGAAAAGGTTGACACACTGTGATTATGTGTGTGTCCATCCTGTGTCTATATAAGCTGCCTTCACATGGGGTGATGGGCACATAATGGGGGGGACACATCTACAGTGTGTGTGTGTGTGTGTGTGTGTGTGTGTGTGTGTGTGTGTGTGTGTGTGTGTGTGTGTGTGTGTGTGTGTGTGNAAGCCAGCATCCTCGAGATTGAGAAACGGCCTCAGTCTCAGACTCAGAGTTTTTGAAGATGGACATAAGAACATTTGTTCTTAAAAAAGACGACAATTCAGAATTGTCGTCTTTTTTAAGAACAAATGTTCTTATGTCCATCTTCAAAAACTCTGAGTCTGAGACTGAGGCCGTTTCTCAATCTCGAGGATGCTGGCTTGGTAGTTGCGTACTTCCAAGTCACTTCCTTCAGAAACAAAGCAAGTATGCTTCCAAGCCGCGGCTTCGGATAACGAAGAAGAATGGAACAGGCTAACAAGTGTGCCACTCTCTCTAACGGTTTCAACATAAACTGTACCGAAAATAAATACCTCACGATGTCTATCTAATTATGAACTTGCTTTACTTTCACGGAACACATTTTTGGTGATAACAAACAAATGTAACAAAGTAACATATTTACCAACACATGTTGTACGGCACTACATACTTACATTTAAATGTGTGCTGAGTCAGTTCAGCCATTCTCCGCAAGGGTTTTTGAAATTTGTCCGTGCGCAAAGCATTGTGGGGATTTTAAGGATGCAAAGTCTACCGATGTGCAGCCTCAAAATTTCCCCCAAACCAAGGACGCGGCCTCGGTGGAATTCCAAGTATGTTGGAGATTGGAACAGTACTTCGGCGGCACTCGATGACGTAGCATCCTTGAAATATTGGCTTGGAAGCCAGTATCCTCGAGATTGAGAAACGGCCACACAGTTTATTTTAAACATTGTCACAGCTCACAGGATAGGTACCTGTCAGCCAATAAAACAGATGTTTATTTCCATTCAACTCTCTGGTTGGTCTGGTGCCTTGCCTCTGTTGCATTCACTGAACACGGGAAATTACCATCCTGCCGTCCTCTAGTGTCATGATGAGGTTCAGGTAAAGCACTGTTAATGTATTATATGAGTGACTCAATAATATAATACATGACTTTGAGAGTAGGCAATCTATGCATATTAACAACATTAATTAAACATACTTATCACGGCGGCGGTTTGCTAGGCGGCCCTTAGTGGCTGCGGGGCCCCTAAGCGGCCGCTTATGTCGCTTAATGGGTCGGGTCGGCTCTGCGTATACTGATAATAAAACAAGACAATCACATTCATTAAAAGGCTACATTTTTTCATTTTACATTTATCAGTTGGCCAGATTTATAGCCTATCAAAAGTTCAAAGCTGGCTTAAATGGTTGTTTTTGCACCTTTGGTCTCACATCTCTTATGAGTTTACACCTAACAGGAAAGTAAGAAAAGTAAATGACTCTGTCTACAACTGCTGTAGAGTAAGCTTATCTCTCTACAATTTGACATAAAGTCTTCATGCTTCCATTCATTATTGATAAGCCCCATACCACTATAGAGCCATGGCATGTCTTTGTTCTGGATGTCAGGAGCCCTACTATTTGGAAACAAACAAAGTTGTTTGATTAGTAATAATGAAACTAGGCCACGCCAGAAAGCAAATTGTCCTTGCTGACCAACAGCAGATCTAATCTTGTAGAAGGCCTTTCTCTTTAATTATTAAACCGATACCAGAGAGATTGATGCTTTGGAAAACACAATTAATCCAGGTTTCTACTGAGAAAGGTGGTTTATGTTGCAAAATTCAAAATAAAGAATTGAATGGAAAAATGAAAAAAGTCTGAAAATAACATTTAATTTGAAATGCCAAAAAGCAACACAAAAAAAGAAGTAGATAAACATCATAAAGAAAGACATGCACAGAGTAAAAGGTTGGAGAGATAAGGAGCTGTTCCTGATTGGAGGACATGGGACACGTGACCGGGCTCATTTACATGTGGACAGGCAGGTGAGTGTGGGAGAAAATAGTTTGAGCTATGTCGCGAACACACCGTCACCTGACGGGATTAAGAGTCCTGTCGCTTTGCCAGAGCATCTTCCTTTGAACCAGGAGTCACCACAGGCCGTCGGTCCGCTCACCTGGACGGACGCTCAGTAACCGGAAGGTAACTCTCTCTGAATGTATCCATTATCCCCTAAATAACGTCAACACTTAACCTACGAGTCGAGCCCAAACGAAACTGTTCCGAGCCTCTTCTAGAGTTACAAATCCTTAAGGCACTACTTTATGTCTGTACTTTTCATCGGTTTACCTGGGCTGAGAGCACCGGTTAAACAGGTGCAGCAGGACCTCCTGCATTCCGACGTGCGCAGACATACAACCGCCTGTACCAATATCAAACTTCAGTGGGTGTGTCCGTGTGTTTAGTTTATCAAGGATTAGGACGGAAATTGACCTTTTTCATAGTTTGTTCACACGTTAGCAATGATTTATTGTTATAACGTGAAAGAATGTAATGTAAGTTTCCTGTTCTTTGTACATACATTTACCAGGCAACATATTCAAAAGAAGCATCATATTTGACTACCTGTAAAAGTGTGTTTTTTGTGAACAAAAAAAGTGACTGAAATGGTTTTTGATTTTTAAAATATTAACATGTATTATTATCTGTTAGTAGGTTAACAGAATAATTGTTAAGCTGCAATGCTTTTTCTAAATCTGCATTTCTTATTTTTATTTACCCTTGCTAACCTCAAGCGTAGGATGCTTTGTTGGCCTTTTGTAGGCAATACACTAGCTGAATAGAAACTACAACAGCCCTAAGGAATGTAATGTAATCCAAAACAATAACACTGCTGCAATACTGCCTGTGAAACATTAACTTTATTGTGTGTTTTAGAAGAGAAGTGTTCACCTGTGGTTTCAAGTATTTACTTCCTGGAGTTGTTTTATTGGACTTAATAATATTAAAGGTTTAACGTACATGGGACAAGAGTTGTTTTGTAGCCCGACTATTTTAGATGCTGTCTTTGATCTTTTGACTAAGTTGTTAGAGTGACATATTTGCACCTCTTCAACATTTAGCTGTCTTGCAGTCAGTGTTTAGAATAGAAGCCTGAAACAAGAATATTTCCTTACAGTTTGCTTTTATAACTCTTGGTCATTGAACTGTGTTTTTAGTCTTTCTCTGAGCTTGAACTGTCTGCACCACACCAAATAAAGTCAATGTGTGCACTTGAGATGATATCCCCCTTCTCATCTAAACACATGCTTAACCTTTCTTTTCTCCACAATGCGTGGGAATAAAACACGATTTGACATGGACTTGCTATTACTAAATGGGGTCTGACTTTGATCATTGTTTTTTTTTCTTTTACATGAAATCTTTGGCTGTGATGACACCCATTTGTTCAATGCCTGATTTGCTTTCTTTCTTATCTTTCAGATTCATCTCTTTTGTTTCTACCTTAACAGTGTTGGTCCAGATGTAAGGGCACATGCCTCACAGACCTGATCAGTACTTCCTCACCACCAGGTAGTTTTATTTTTAGGACTTCACGCTGTTGGATGATCTCATCCCTGTATACCTGTTTGGGGATAATTTCATTTAAAGGGTCGGTTATTTCCTAGGAGGTTTCTTGGCATGGAGTAATGTATTTGTGTACTAATAGAGTGGTGCAGTGACGCATCCAACCCGGAAGTAAGTATCTTCCGGTTCCCTTGACAAAATAGCAATGCAATTTCTCCATAGGATTTTGGAAAATAGCTCGAAATAAGGTCTGTGGTTGACACACATTTAAGAGACGGATCACGTTTTGTTCAGTCGGATAATCTCGACATGTCTACCCTACTTTTATAGATTTATGATCGATAGAACCGGAAGGTACCCATGCGCAGCTTACTTCCGGGTTTTAGGACGCGTCACTGCACCACTCTATAATAAGGAAAATAAGTCTATCATACTGGATGAGTATGGATCATGATTTAAAAAAATAGGTTTGAACAGCGATTAATTTCCATTCTGGGACAATCATCAATATCCTCAAAAAAGCCATCTATCTCAATCAAGGAAGTGAAAATACAACTTGCTTTTAAGCATTCATCATGTAGGGCTCGTCCAATATTGCTATTTAAAAAAGGTATTTATTCTTAATTTATGAATTATGAATACCATATTAAGGATTTTAAGACAAGCTATGAGGTATTTTTCCAGTATGTTTTCATCTTTTTATCATATTTTGATGATTTAACAGTATCAACAATTGTGACACTTTAAAATCTTTCCATTTGCCTACTTGTAGACTTGTAGACAAATTACACATCTTTACTTCTTCAGTTGACCAGACCTACCAAATAACACACATATAGGTTATGCTTTAATTGGAAGCTACCAATTGAACACCTCCAATATTCAGTATCAAATTGCTAAGTTCTCTCCAGGAAACGGTTTGGATATTGCGTACAAATTCATTTCCTAGACTTTATTTAACATGCTGAATGTAACCAATCAATAGTGTATCTGTAGTTATACATTGACTGACTAGCGTGATTCCCTCCCCAGCTGTCTGTCACCATGGTGATGCAGGTGTTGATGGCCCCTGCTGTGTCCGTGCTGGTTTCCACTGTGCTGTCGCTGCTCAGCCTGGCTCTGCTGCTGCTGCTGTGTGTCATCAGGAAGAAAAGGAGGATGGAGGGAACATACAGGCCCAGTGCGGAAGAGAGGAAACAGACGGGATCGGGGGGGGGCGAAAAACCAAGCCTGCCTCTCCCATTGCCTAAAGAGGAACGCCTCATATGACAGACGGTTGGAGGTGGACCCACCCTCTGTCCTCTGTCCCTGTGTGACCTGTGGACCCATTCCTCCTGTTCTCTGACGTCTCTGTGCTGCGCTCCTCTAGAATGATCTATGTTTGCCTTTGGGGCCAGAAAATCTTCAAAAACACTATTTGTTTGTTTTTCTTCTTGGGGACAACAAATACATAGATCAGACTTTCAATTGAATCCCCCGACTCACTGAATGGGAAGGGAAAATGTGTGTCATCTCAGATCCTGTTGTATTGCTTCATAAAATTCCCTCACTCCCTTTGTTTTGCCGGATAAGAAACATGAGCTGAAGTATATTTTGTATTGTAGAGAGATGAGTATATTTTTACTGTACTGTCTGTTCTGTGTATTTATATCTAAAACATTTTGTGTTTTACACTATTTCCAGTTATGAAGGATATTGATTAAAACGATTACTGTGATGCACTTTCATGTCAAGCTCTAAGAAGCTCAATGTCTCTAAATCAGTATGTGCGGTACACGAGGTGTTCTATTAATAAACCAGGTATGTGAATACCTTTTTTTACCCAAGTCTTTGAATATTGAAGGAAACGGGACGTTAGATTTTCAAAATAGTTTGTTTATTATGTTTTAAGTTCATATTCTGTGTGAAGACCAGACAAATGCAATATCCTCATTGTCAGTTATAGTATTTAATAACTTTCTCACACACCTTATAACAAATATTCATGTATCAATGACAAATGGGCCATCATACAGTAGCAGAAATGCAAAACATGAATGTATTTCTTTCATTTCAACTACATTTCCTAGTTGTACAAATCTGTTCATATTTGGCAAATCTTGGCAAAGTTCCATAAGATTTTCTTGACAACAACTCCATATACCAAAAATGATTAAAAACACTCCATTGACCCAATCCCTAATAGTCCACAACAAATGAGTTACATATTGAAGTCTGTATAATACTTTCCTAAAGCTACAATCCTTTTTTAGGTTAACTGAGTCATTTTAAATAACATGAAACGTTATACAAGTGTCCTATTTTTAAAGCGCTAAAACGTTTTTAAAAAGGGCCTGGGTCACAGATATGCAGGAGTGGTCAGTGCTGACACACTTCCACATTGCTCATGTTGGTGTTTTTCCTTGGATTTGTTAAAATACAAATATAATTTAGGCTTCAAATCTCTTTTTAAGCTCAGACACTTTGATCAGAGGCGGTTCGTCCTCACCATCCTTGGAGACATTTTTCTTCTCTGATATATTTGAGTCACATGGCGGGTGAGTCTGTGTGTTTTCCCTGCTCCAAACTGTGTTGCAGGGTCTCTCAGGTTCAGACCGTTCCTGGATCCTGGCCTTCACCTGAACGCCGTGGCTCTGAGACTGGACGCGTGTTTCAGCAGACATCACTTCAGGAGGAGAGGGGGTCTGCCTTGTGTCTTGCTCCTGTTTCTCTACTGCTGCTTCTCTACTTTTTCCAGGACCTTCTGGAGGTTTAGGGTCAACAATGAGACTTTGAAGCCCAGATGTGGGTTCCAGATTGTCCTCCAGTTCTTTTTGCTCCTCCGCAGCGTTGGGATGATGACGGTTCAGTTTGTTTAAATCATCTTTCTCCTGCTCTGTTCCCTCTTCTCCTTTTGCTTCACCTTTCTGCACTTCATTTGTCACTTCTTCCAATTCTTGCCCCTCAGCTACCTCGTCACTCTGTCTTCTTTCACTTTCCCTCTCTTCTTTCAACCCTTTATCTTCACGATTATCCCCTATTCCTATCAATTGCTCCTCTCCTAAACTCACTCTCTTTTCCTCACTCACTTCTTTTGTCTCTTCCTCTAATTTCACTTCCTTAAAGTTACCTCCACCATCTATTTCTTCTTCTTTGTTCCCATTTATTGCTAACCTCACTTCTTCCTGTTGTCCTCCTTTTTGCTGTTCTATGTCACACACTGCCAGCGGACTCTCTGTCCTGTCCTCCTCTGGTACGCTGGTGTCCAGGCACAGCCAATCAGAGTCCTCTGTCAGGTCTGACTGCTCCTCCATGGTTTCCACGTTCCAGCTGTGCAGGCTGCCGCTGCCGCTGATGGACAGAGACAGGCTCTCTTGGCTCGGGTTGGCTGGAAAACAACCCTAGAAAACACAATGGCATGAGTAAGACCAGTGTGTTTTAGATCCTCAAGCATTTATCTAGCCCTCATCCAGTCACTTAAAGCACTTGACATTCACATGCTGAGGCAGAGGTCATTCAAGGTACAACCTTCTCAGGGGAGAACAACATTCACACACTGTTGGCCATGTCATTGGATGCAATATCAGTTTTAGTATCTTGCCCAAGGACATCTGACATGTTGGCTGCATTGGCCAGGAATGGAACCAATGTACTCCGATTGATGGACGACCCTCTACCTCACAAACATCCACCACCTCATCTTCTTACCTTCCTGATATAGTCATGGCTGTCTGGTCCAAACAGATCCAGGCTGCGTGTGGCGTACAGGAGGCCACGCTCGTTGGAGCTCCGGGAGCTGAGCGTGTCAAAGATCTCCCCCAGCAGATCCATCTCCTCTGGGTCACACAGCAGTGGATCTTCCCCATCTTCCTCATCCTTCTGCAGCTCAGAGTCCAGCTCGACCACAGGCCCAGAGCCAGCTCTAATACACAGAAATAGGAATGGCACAAAAGAGTAAAACATATTTTTAAATATTTACATAAACCCCAGGGTTTTCCCACTTTTCTCCATCTCTCAGTTTATCTCCGACTCTCACCCATCCCATGTGTCCCCAGTGTCCTGCACGTCTTCCTCGTCTCCAGGGGACCTACGTTTGTGAACAGGCCGACGGGGACGTGACTAACAAGAGGCAACATGGAGTAACGAAGCAAAGAGGATGCAACATTTCCATAACAGAGGTGACAGATGTTGGGGCGGACCACAAGGCAATAGAAATGGAGCAAAAACGATGCAAAATAGCACAAATAAGAACATTAGTTAATAAAGAGGATACATATGAATGGTATCTTGTAGGGGAAACTAAAAGTGCCACAATAATGCTTTCTGGCTTATGGACTAATCATTGCAAAAAAACCTAGCCATTATTATTATTATTTGTATTATTAATATATATCAATTTATTTGGTTTTCATTCATTTATGTACAGTAGTAATTGTATCTTATTATAATGTTATGTTTGTTACATTTTAGAAAGACATTGTTTAAATAAATATTTGATTACTGATGAGCTCTCACCCTCCCAAAGTGTTGAGTGATTGGCAGGCGGTTCTGTAAGCAGTCCGATTGGGCACGGCGGTGCTTCACAGATCCTCCCCTGTGAAGGGTGTTCTCTTCATTTTGGGTCTGCATCACACACACACAACAAATAATTATTATAATAAATCAACAGCAGCATTTGATTGATCCCCGTAAAAACCAACACCACATAAACACTGACCCACCTTGTGCAACAGCAGGTTTTTAAAACCAGACTTTGTGAGACCTTTGGCCTGGGAGAGATTAAAATCAGCATGAACAAATGTTTTTTTATACGACTGAATTCACTTGCCCTTACAAAAAAAAAAGACTCACCCCCATGTTTGCTTTGGACTTCATGTTAAGGATGAGCGCTCCTCCCCCTTTCTGTCAGAATTGTGCATACTGTATTTTTGGCAAGAACTTACAAGAATGAACTTTAAGCGGTTTCAATAATAATACAAATAGCTTACCTTTAAATTACCAACTAACTGTTGATAGGATTTGCTTCTCCCTATGAGTACACAAAACACAATGGGAAGAGAAGAGTGATACCTGAGTAATAAAATACACACACACACACACACACACACACACACACACACACACACACACACACACACACACACACACACACATACCTGCAGTTGTTTCACACTTTAAGATCTCCTCTTCATAGAGGTCATCTGGTTCTTTCCCTTTGTTCAGAATATCCAGGCGACCGTCAATGAACTACGAAAACACATTTTGATATGTTTTTCTAAATTATATTAAATGCTTACTCATGTACATTAGAGTAATACCAGAATGACTTAGTCCAAGTAATCTGATGTAGCAAACAACACCCCGTCCATTACTGTATAAATCAGCATCAAAGGATGTCAGAATTTTTTTGAAGCAGCTGCATTTCATTTGTTTTCTCTGCCCAACAAGCTCTTCTCCTGTAACTGCAGTGCCCAGCAGAGGGCAGTAAAGCACACGAGGCACAATGCTCACCTCTTTGAAGGACTGTAGATGAATGGCATTCTCTAGGAAGTGCCTCATGCTGGAAGACTTGTGTTCTACAAACAGTTCCTCACTGAACCACACCTCTCCCTCCTGTAGAAACAAAAGTGTTATTGACACAACAAAAGAGAAAAATGTTTCCCCAAAATGCACATATAAATAAACAAACAGAAAACACTTTAAACACATTTTAACTATTTAATCATTTACTGCACTGTTAGTATTGTTATTATAACAAACTGAAGAGTTAATGACATCCATAAGCCTTTTGAATGATTGACCTTTTCACCCTGCAGTGCGTCCCTGTAGCCTCCAAACAGCAGAGCCTGAGCTTTGAGGAAGGCCCTCGAGACCCCGCAGCCAGGAGACACCGCCTGACGCTTCAAACACACCTTCAGCCCAGACATCTGGAGAAATATTTACATTTTTATCAAGAGCAAATGCTTATGCTCAATAATAATGATTAATAACACTGTGGTGACTATTGCCCCTCAATATCGCAGAGGGATTGGCTAAACTGGGTAAGGGAATTGGACGTGTGTAATCTCATTCACGACAACGTTTTTAGCTTTCAATACCATTTTATATCCAAAGAAACAGCGTGTGCATGGTACACGGTCATAAAACTGTTGCTCTTCCCAGTCCCAATCTCACACCTATGCCGGTAAGGTCACCAAAATACCCTATGCCCCAATGTGCTATCTAGTGCTCAAAACCAACAACAAAAACATACAAACGGGCACAACAAATACGATTAACAGAAGAAGTGCCAAAGCTGCTACAGAGAATACTCTTTTTTGTCATTTTGACTTTGTTATCGTAGATTGTGTAGAGTGACAGAAATACAGAAAGAGAATTATGGTTGGGCTGGAACGTGTGCTCGTACCACTCAATGAACTGCATGAACTTTTCAGGGTTAGGGTTAGAAAATAAAGAACCTTGCTTTTATTTCCATTGAAGGAATCTATATAAATAATTAGGATAACAGCCTGATTCTGTAGTACACACTTCACATCCCAGTCATTATTTCCTAGAAATAGTTCAGTGTGAGATAAGAGACAACCAAAATACTTTAATTTGACCAGACAAACATACATATACACAGAGTGTGTATTACCACATCTGAAGGTATCCTTTTCAGGTCGTCAAAGGGGTTTTCCAGAGTGTTTGTGTCCACATTCAGAATAACCACTTCTTCCAAGCCACGACTCCTCACCCTCTGTCAGACCGACACAAACACACAGTTTGAGCTTCCGTTTGTGGTTCACAATAAGGAAATAATTGAGTGACTATGGTCAACTTTAATTAGGCGTTTACCTCAGATAGACTGGCGTGGACCCCTATTAGGTAGGGCATAGGTGCACTGTAACCCAAATAAAGAGTGAATTCAATTAATTGAAGGTGGGATGGTAGGTAGGTAGGTAGGTAGGTAGGTAGGTAGGTAGGTAGGTAGGTAGGTAGGTAGGTAGAGTTCTTACCAGCAGTAGTCCAGCAGATGGGGTGGCAGGACAGGAATGAAGATGTGTTGCCAGTACATGGGGTATAATACAGCACTGAGTGCATGCACACAGGACGTCAGCTATACAAAACACAAAATTGACAATTGTTTCAGACATCAACACACAGGATACACACGCCTTTCTGTATGGTCTACCATGACTGAACTTCTTGGATAAGCTAAAGTGTCATGAGTTTTCAGAGTCTGAACATGACACACGTCTAGACACTCTTTAAAAACAATAGAAGATAACAAATGTGTGTCTTACAGTGCTGAGTTTGCTGGCAAAGATGAGGATGCGTCTCTCAAACAGCATGCTGGCGTAGAGCTGGAGCAGGTTCCCCACATCTACTGCCACTATCATCTCAGTCAGGTTCCTCTGGAAAACACAAGCACATGCAATTCAGGTTTAATGGGCTAGGTGTCTAAACTAATTCATTCAGCTTTAAATCATTTTTACCCACATTTTCGGGGATTGAAGGGAGACTTCTCGGGTCTGGAGCGATGAAGTATGGAACCTGGTCATGACAAATGAAACAAAACATTACTAAAAACTGGATTTTAATGCAAATGTTTCTGCTTTCAGCTGGCTTTCAAAATCATATGACATGCATGCACAAAAGGTTACAGGATGAGGCTATAGGTTTCATTCCAAAGTTCTGTATCCATTAAATAATGGCTTATTTTGGAATGAAAAAAAGTCAATACACTTATTTGGGATCAGTATAATCAAGGGTTATTTATGGGTTAGGATACATACAACTGTTCAACTGTTCACAAAGGTCAGGCGGGCATTAGTGCAAATCGTGTTAGGTTTGGCTTAAACATTCAATTAGAGAGATGAATGACAACGTTTTAGTCCACACACACAAGGTTTAGCCATCAAGCACAGACAGCTAGAGTTTTCCAGGAGTTAGTCTGTATCCGCTCGGCAATTCTTCGAGACCACATGAACCCCTGTGGGACTCACCCCCTCTTTTCCCTCTCTGTGTCCATCAGGATGGGACACCTCTGTGCTGACCAAAAGCTGCTCTCCCTCAGAAAAAAAACACAACACGCTAACCACTGACAGGTAAACAGCCAAATAAGCCAAGTGTGACACCATATTGATATTTAGAGATTTACCATCTGCAGTGTGACTGATCCAGCTGCCAGCGGTAAGGGCTGCTTGTAGAGTGCAGCCAGCAGAGCTTTCATCTCATTGGTCTGTTGAGAACATGATGTTAAGGATACTCATATAAGAGTGTGTTTATTTCAGACAAATAGAGGAGCAGAAAGATAATACACAAGCAACGGAAACTCACCTGTCCTTTCAAGAGGTAATCAGCCAAGTTGTTGAGAAGTTTGTAAAACACTTCAAACCATGGAAGATAACTGTAAAATCATAATTTTAGAATCATTAGAATAACTATTTTAAAATCCCCTTACACCTACATTTCCTCATTCTCACACAGATTTACCTGAGCATGCAGAGGCAGGTATGTGTGTGGTTGGTGAGACGGCAAAAGCCAAACCGCTGGCATCCTTCAAGGTCAGTCAAAACAAAGGTAAAGTGCTGCACGGCCACCCCCTCCTTCGCTCTGTGCAGAGAGATGTGGTGAGAGGTTGACGTATAGATAAACAGTGTAACCATGAGTAACAACAGTTTGTACTCACCTTTGTAGGCCTATGTCATACGGGAAGCAGAACCGGGGTAATGTTTGAGAGGACTCCTGGAAAGGGATAGAATTGTGTGTTTCACGTGAACAGTGAAAAATCACATGACATGTTGAAAGAGTCAAGCAATCCTAATGGTTATATGAGGCTGCACTTAAGCACATCACTGATAACACATTCACACTGCCAGGCAGGTATCATCCAATTAGCATTAGCGATAATGTACAGCTGAGGCTGATGGGATGGTGAATGTTTTTTGGAGGTATTCGATCACAAACCAAAGTAGGGAAGAGTGGGGTAAGATGAACCAGTGGGTAAATTGACCCACCCCCTTAATCTAGGGAACTGTGCACATTTGTTGTCTTGTGACCATAAATTCAGGAAGTACACATCATTTATATCTGGTTGTGATGGAGAGAATCAGAATCAGAATAAGAATCAGAAACAGGTTTATTACCAGGTAGGTTTACACGTACGAGGAATTTGACTTGGTGTCGTGGTGCATACATAAAAGTAAAACAATAGAATAGAATCACTTCTATCTAATATTCCCTTGCCTAGAGGACAACATTAGTACAAATTGACTCATCTTACCCCACTCTCCCATATTAGACACGTTAAATGATCAGAATATAACGCTGCGTGAAAAGTCATAGCAATGGCATTGTTAATGCATGTATGCAAAATGTCATGCCGATTCATCCAATAGCTGCAGAAATAGTTTATTGAAAAACGAATGTAAACCTCATGGTGGCGGTACATCAAAAGTCAGGGGATTGCTAAAGTCAGTAGGAATTCTCTTCTGAAGAACACACAAATGTTTTTCTAAAAATGTAATGGAAATACAAATTATACATTGTGTATATCTACATTTTGTGGATTTTGGGCATTGATACTTTCATAGTTGCAGCCTTATAGATTGTTTTATTTTAAACTAGCACTCTTTCCCTTGTACTGCAACTGCAGCAAAATAATGTCCCTCAGGAATAAATAAATGTATATCAGCTATCTAAATAGTTATTGAGATATTTCAGTCTGAGAGGTGTGTGGTGCATTGGGTTGTGCGTAGGTGTTCGGATCAGGGGGTCACAGGTTCAAACCCCACTGCAGTCAGCATGTCGTTGTGTCCCTGGGCAAGACACTTCACCCCAAATTGCTCCTGTGGGGATTGCCCACAGTATTGAGTATGTAGGTCGCTTTGGATAAAAGCGTCTAACATGTAATGTAATGTACTGTAATGAACCAGAGTGGTGGAATGACTGACCCGCAGACTGACTGACATTGCCATCCTAACAGAGGCACGGCAGTAGCATGGCTAAAAACAAACCTCTTCCATCAGTTTAACGCAACAATACATCAACACATATTAAACCATTCCAGGAGCAGAAGATATGAATGGCTACCTCATCGCTGAAGTCCTCTGGGAACTGAAACAGAACACCGGGATCTAGGACATAAAAACATTGATGAAATGAACCACATGGCTAATACTCCAAACACATCAGCTACACAGAACATGTAGAGAAGCAAAGTCTTTTAGGTGTGTTATAAGGCAACACTGGTTGTAATAGAAAGACGACACATTATTTAAGATGGGCAGTTTAAATAAATGTTGCATGTCAATAAAAAGTATTTATTTAACCCAGCTGCTCAGTCTAAACATAACATGCTTCATCTCATCTAGTGTGACTTTGTGGTTTTTTTGATCACATGACAGGAAGTATGAGCCCTCAGCTCGGCAAAAACACCTTTATATTCACCAAGCATTATTATCTTATCACATCATAATTCATGTGTGTTTTCTATGTCACCCAGATGTCAGATTGTAGTTAACAGTCAGATTGTTGTAACATTTCATGCGGGAAAATGACGAGAAGATAGTAAACAAAGTCAGAGGGAAGAGTTTAAGGAACAATTTTAAACAACTTCTCTATTGCTGACAAATCACTTCGCACATAGAAATGGCTCATCTATACCGATATAGAGGCTGATACACAGAATCACAGTAATCACATCTATTTCTTTAGCCCTGGTGTGTTGCACAGAATAAAGACAGAGGACTCACCTTTGTCTCTGGCTACGGGGCAAGTTGCTTGAAAGAACCAGTAAAAGGTTCGCTCAGGGTTTTGTCTGACAGGAAAGAGATTCACACATCCTTTTTAAGATTATCTTGACAGTGTGTTTCAAACCAAAGCATTTCCACATATGTGTTGACACTAACTAGTCAATCTGCCCAACATTTATCATATTAATCAAAAACATTATCTCACAACACCTAGAGGACTTTGTTCTCAGAGAGGTATGAAATAGGTATGCTTTTGAGGAAAAAGGACTGTTACCTTATACATTTACTTAGAACATTTATGAGGAATTTGTAGTTTAATTTAGTGTTTCAATTTCATACTGCTGTATACTTCTACTCTACTTTTCAGAGGTAAATATTGTACTATTTTTCTCGACTTCATTTAATTAACGTCTTTAGTCACTTTATAGATTTAGATTCTTAATAACAAATATCAATCTACTACAAATGGCGATGTATTATTATAGATAAACCCCCCCCCCAAAAAAATGTTTACAAAATCTTTTCTGTATTTACCAGCTACAACATTAAACAGATAAACACATTAATGCATCAATAATAAATAGAAATGGAATATTTACAATATATTATTCTTCAACTTGGATACTTTCACCTTTGTTACTTTAAGTGTTTTTTAATGCCTATACTTTTGTAGTTTAATTTAAATAACATTTTAAAATGCAATACTTTTACTTGTACGAAAGTCTTTATACACTCCGGTTTTGCTTATTTTACTCATGTAAAGTATTTGAATACTTCCTCATCCACTGTGGGATTACTTTAAAATTCTAAAAAGTGGCTCATATGCATCAAACACAGATTGCTTTTAAGAAGAAAAGTGTCTACTGTAAAGTGTATGGCAACACATAAAGGGCAAAGAGTTGCTGCAGGAAACTTCCTGTGCAGTTGTGAGAGGAAGTCATGAAAAACCACAAGAACAGACTGACAGGCAGTGATGATGGAAGTCAAGCGAAGAAAGACATGACCACTCACTTCAGTCTGGAGCCCATGCTGTCCCGATGTGTCTGTGCCCATGTGTTTGTCCAGGAGGGCCGATATCTTCAGCAGGATTCTCAGATGATGGCCATACTTTGGATGTAGCAGTGGTGCAAAGAAGTAGCACACCGGCGGTAGCAGCTCTCTGCACAATCAGCGCAATAGAAGTGACAGAACACTTCCTGATCTATGTCAGTATGTGTTCATGACGTCTGTTATAACCAACCTCTCTAAGCTCTCTCATAGACTTCCATTTCCATCCTTTGATGTTTTTTCACCCTCTGTTTCCTATTAGAGTTGGATACTCATTTTAAAAAGGCAGCCATCAGGTGTAAAGCATGTCTTTAATCATTTACATGTTCATGAGCGGCTTCAGGAACAATCATGGTACAGTGTATACTATTAGAGTAGACTACAACTTCACACGCTGAAATTAATTGGACAATTTACAAAAAATGAAATGTTAGAGGTTCTGATTTCAGACTGGTTTACACAATATGCTTGTTTTTCTGTTTTATTTTTTAAGGATATTTCTATCTAACCTTGTATGTATATTTCAATCTTGCTTTTCTATTATTATAGTTGTTGTAGGAGTGTAGTAGTTTGTCTCCTCTATAATGAGTTACCTTCTTGTCAAGAGAATTCACTGTGACTTCCTGAATAAATAAAAAAACATATGCATTTTTAGATCTAGCATTTATGAAGTCATTTGGTCGACAGGTTTCATATCCTCATCCTGCTAAGAGAGGCTTTACACTCGCAGATCTCTTTACTTCCTCCTAGTGGTGTTCAAGCAAAACTGCCTTATCATTAGAAAATGCAGGTCTCCATTTTGGTTCATACTGTGCCATCTAGAGTCTAACTTGAAGATGAATTCCAGATCTAAAACATTTTTGATATTCTCTTTCGTCTATTTTAGTCAAAAGGGATCTATTTTGTCAGCAGGATTTTATTAATCTACAGCGTGGGTTTACTTATCTCCTTGTATTTCATGTAAAAATGTATTGAAATCCAAAATGCATTACACAGAAGAACATCAAACACTTTTAACAGGAATAAAACATTTATTTCAATCAATGCCAAACTAGACAAGTGATCAAATTGAACATTGAAAGTTGAACAGTTTCATTGAATACTTGGCCCAGTTTGACTGATGCTGATGAAAGAGCATGGACAGAAAGCTACTGACAAAATACCACAAGCACAGCTGTGTTAGCTTCCTCTATATGAACTATGAGGTCGGGGGGTCACTTTAGCCTTATGAGTCCTACTCTGAGAGGAGGAAAGAGGAGAGGCAGAGAGAAAAGGGAACAGAAGGATAACAGGAAAAAGGGAACGGATAGTACTTAGTACTTTGACTCCCTCCGAGTAGTTAAAGTGAATTAATATTTGGACGGTTGGATGGATTTATGACGAGTGCAGTTGAGAAATTGTGGGTTATTTTAGCTTTAGGTTGCCTCTTCTTCTCCCTCCTCCTCAAACTCTCCCTCCTCAGCGGTGGCGTCCTGGTACTGCTGGTACTCGGACACCAAGTCGTTCATGTTGCTCTCAGCCTCGGTGAACTCCATCTCGTCCATGCCTTCTCCGGTGTACCAGTGGAGGAAGGCCTTGCGACGGAACATGGCGGTGAACTGCTCGGAGATGCGCTTGAACAGCTCCTGGATGGCAGTGCTGTTCCCGATGAAGGTGGCGGCCATCTTGAGCCCGCGGGGTGGGATGTCGCACACGGNAGAACAACAACATTGGACTCATAGTTCAAGTTCAGAAACACAATCTTAGCACCAATCCATAACCTCTTTTCTTAAAATTTCATCCTTACATTTGTTGTAAAACTCCCAGTAAACAGCACACTAGGATATTGTAAATAGTGATCGTTCCTTCAAAACAATAAGCTTCATATCAAACAGGATTTTATCAAGTTCAGTGCATTGAACCTGGTCACTGTTAGTTCTCTTTCATAACAAATAAACTTTGCATCTTTGAAAACAGAGTGAACAGAAACACAAAGACAAGATAAAACATTGATATCCAAAGCAGAGAAGGAAGAACAGAATGCAAGGCAAAACAATGGCTGGACAAGAACTGTTATAATTGCGAACATTCAGAGGAACTACTGTGCGATTCTTTGAAACTGTAGTTTTACTGATGAAAGGCTTCAAATATTCTACATGATGCGTTTGGGCTTGGCTCTAGCGCTCCTCTTCGCCTTCATCTTCAAACTCGCCCTCCTCCTCAGCGGTGGGGCGTCTGGTACTGCTGTGACTCGCGGACACCAGGTCGTGTCATGTTGCTCTCCAGCCTCTGTGAACTCCCATCTCATCCAAAATGCTCTGGCCAGTGTACCTGAAACAGAGGAATATTACTCACCGCATAATAACTTTCAATCTTTCCTAACATTTTTTTGGCCAAACCATTAAACTTGAAAAGAAAAATTGTAAGGTGATCAATCCGTTCAAAACCCACATCACTCACCCGTGAGAAGGCCTTGCGGCGGAACATGGCGGTGAACTGCTCGGAGATGCGCTTGAACAGCTCCTGGATGGCAGTGCTGTTCCCGATGAAGGTGGCGGCCATCTTGAGCCCGCGGGGTGGGATGTCGCACACGGCTGTCTTGACGTTGTTGGGAATCCATTCAACAAAGTAGCTGCTGTTCTTGTTCTGCACGTTCAGCATCTGCTCGTCCACCTCCTTCATGGACATGCGGCCGCGGAACACGGCAGCAACGGTGAGGTAGCGGCCGTGACGAGGGTCGCAGGCCGCCATCATGTTCTTGGCGTCGAACATCTGCTGTGTGAGTTCGGGCACAGAGAGGGCTCTGTACTGCTGGCTGCCTCTGCTGGTGAGGGGGGCGAAGCCGGGCATGAAAAAGTGCAGACGAGGGAAGGGCACCATGTTAACGGCCAGTTTGCGGAGGTCGGCGTTGAGCTGGCCGGGGAAACGTAGGCAAGTCGTCACCCCGCTCATGGTGGCAGACACCAGGTGGTTGAGGTCTCCGTAAGTGGGTGTGGTGAGTTTGAGGGTGCGGAAGCAGATGTCATAGAGGGCCTCGTTGTCAATGCAGTAAGTCTCGTCTGTATTCTCAACAAGCTGGTGGACAGACAGGGTGGCGTTGTAGGGTTCCACCACTGTGTCTGATACCTGGAGGCACAAAGCAAAAAGGTCAGGGAGGGGGAAAGCCAGAAAAGAGTAAAGAAACCTCCAATAAGCAACACATTCTGTACCTTAGGTGAGGGCACTACACTGAAGGTGTTCATGATACGGTCCGGGTACTCCTCACGGATCTTGCTGATGAGCAGTGTTCCCATACCAGAGCCGGTACCACCGCCTAGGGAGTGTGTGAGCTGGAAACCCTGCAGGCAGTCGCAGCTCTCAGCCTCCTTTCTCACCACATCCATGACTGAGTCCACCAGCTCGGCCCCCTCTGTGTAATGGCCCTTTGCCCAGTTGTTACCAGCTCCACTCTGGCCTATAAAGAGAAGGTTGATCGATCCTTTCAATATTCAGCCATATTTCTCCTGCTAGCAGGTCATCATTTAATTTAAACTTAAAATAGTCATCTTTATGGAAGACAACAACTCTCTCTATAATATGCTTCCAATTAAAATTAGCTATCGTTATGTTCTAACCAACATATGTGTTTGTGGCTGATCATATACCAAAGACAAAGTTGTCGGGTCTGAAGATCTGTCCGAAGGGGCCGGAGCGGACAGAGTCCATGGTGCCTGGCTCAAGATCCACTAAGATGGCCCTGGGCACGTACTTCCCACCTAGAACACAAATGCATGTGTTACAACAGAAAAGATAGGACTGACTATAAGAACACCAAATCGTTTTTAAAAGTCCTGACCTGAAGCCTCATTATAGTAGACGTTGATCCTGTCCAGCTGCAGGTCACTGTCTCCATGGTAGGTTCCTGTTGGGTCGATGCCATGCTCATCACTGATCACCTCCCAGAACTACAGATAAGGCAATGTGTTGGATTGACAGAAAAACTTGCATGATGCAGTCTGAATTCACTGATAATTTAATAGATTAAAACATGGTAATGGAATACATTTATATTCCATTTAACAAACCACTGTACTTGTTGAGCCACAACATTTGCTTGACAGGAAATTAATAGACAATTTGATTGAATAATGTCATTTGTAATTCATACACCAAATTATTTATCTATTAAATACCAATGTAGGATTTAGCCTTATGGGGATGTGGAAATGCAAAATGCCTATGTGTAGAGACAGGATTGATGTGTCTGTTCTGAGCTTCTGAGAAAAACATGACGATGCAACATTGCGCACTTGATGAAGAGGAGCCACTATGAAGGGCTTACTCCAAACACATGATTTATAGTAGGCCTATGTGGTGATTATATGCTATGAATATTACATTTCTGCCAATACGTCAAACTAAATAATTTATTTCTACTTTAATTAAAGGCCAAACAGATTAATTAATAATGAATGACACTTATGATTAGCAGTCTCAGAATATTATTTAATAATCTTTGAAAATCATCAACCTCGTATTCATCTCTGGTTCACAGATACCTTCAGAAGATAAGATGATTTACATTATAAATTAGGTTAAACCTATTTTTGGATACAGGAGTGTTCTCGTTGCAATAACACATGACCTATATAAATATGTGTGTGTTAAAAACTGCAAGTCCTCTTGGTGCATTTAATGTCTGAGCCACACCTTATCTCTCTGTGACACACACGCACACGCAGTTCACTGTCTGTGATGTGCTCAAAGGGGATAAGTGACAGCAGGGTATGTCTCTGCCTGCCACTGCCCATGGATCCAAAAGGATGCTATTGTGCGCTGCGTTAAGTCTTATACAACCCTTTCTCCTCCCGTGTTGACCTATTTAGTATTTCCTGTGGAAAACATAGCCCCGTAACAGCCATGACATAACATAATCACTGTAAAAATCTGACTTGAATCACATTAGAAAACGAGCCCTGTTAACAGGTAGATATAACGGCGACGATTGTGCGCGTTTTCTTACCTTTGCTCCAATCTGGTTGCCACACTGGCCGGCTTGCAGGTGCACGATCTCACGCATGATGTCTCTGCGGTGTGTGAGGGGGTCTCACGGAGAAAGAGGGGGATGAAGGTGCCCCGGTTCTTGTTCTGCTCGGTGATGG